GCAGTGCACTTCAAGATAAATGACCAGCGCGCTGACTGCCGGTGAGAAGATGCATTTTTTGCGTAGTTCCCCACAGATTTTCGTTGCTAACGGCACTGTTTTTTCCGGCAGATGTTTATAGCTAAAAGAATTGAGACTGGACGCCAGGACTGTCAGGAAGCATCCCTTTAAAATTTCAGCTTTCTAACTTTCCTGGTTCCAGAGTTAGCAACGTACCCGCAAAAAACTTTCATGAGTCCGTACGTTGAAATTACGCATACCCGGGAGTTGGGTTTGAACTCTTTAAGACCAACGTGAACGGGAAACATCCCTTTAAAATTCCAGTCTCCTTAGGTTCCTGCATTAGCAACTTATCCAAAAAAAAACCATCACTGGTGCACGTGGGAACCATGCTGATCTGGTGGCTAGGCTTGAGCTCATTAATACCTATAAGGATGGGGAACACCTCCTCAAAATTTCAGCTTTCTAGCTTTTCTGGTTCTCGAATTAGCAGCCTCCCTGCCAAAAACTTTGACAAGTTTCAGCCCTGTAGCTTTTATAGGCCTTGAGGCGAAAGGTGCAGACGCACACACACACACACACACGCACACACACACAACCTCTCGTCAATATGCGTTTTCTGCATTGCATGGCTGCAAAAAACGCATAAAAATTGCGTTGAGAATCGTACCTCTTCTAGACATACAGAGACTTACACGCTCACACAGACACACACATACGTGCAATTATACATATACACAGCCCAACACACGCACGCATACATTCACACATACTCACACATGCATGCACATAGCCACACATACGCACCAGTATGGTACAAACATGCTCATGCACACACTGTCGCGAAATTCCCACGAAAAGCAGGCAGAAGCCTGCACTATGTGCGAAAACGTCGTTTTAATACCATCAACAGAGCAGGCCTGGATGCCGCGTACGGAAGCCTCAAAAAAATATGCAAATTTTTTGGCAGAAAAGTGATCTCGGGGACTAGACAAGATAGAGAGCTGAAACTTTGCAGGAATGTGCTGTATGCAATAACAATGGACGGAATACTTTCTTCAGTATAAATAATTGGCCAACGCACGGGCTGCCCGTGCGAAGATGCGTTTTTTGCAGAGTTCCCCGCAGGTTTTTGTCGCTACCGGCATCGGGTTTTCGGCAGATGCTTCTAGCTGAAAGAATTTCAGACTGGCCGCCAGAACTGT